GATGCCCCCTTTTCTCAAAGATCTTGATTGTGCCTTAATTTTAACTCCCATTCCCTTGAGAGAGAGTTTATTACTCAGTCAGCTTGGGGGCTGAACTCGTACCAGAAAAAAAAATATTTTAGAAAAGTCTTCCACTCTGAGGATTTGGAGAGTAAATCCTGGTGGGATACCTGATTGAGAGCATCCTCATCTTTTATATACTTAATAACCACAGTTGTGACACAAAATGGAAATACATTTCATGTGAGGGACTGTCTCTAGCATCACCCATACTATTATCTAATTTATAGCCTTACTATGTATTTTCCTGGCTTGCTTACCATGACAAAGGGGAAGACTCAGGAAGGCTGCATATCATAACACTGATGCATCCCCATTTACCTTCGCTGGTGATGGTCTCAGCAGTTTCTCCTGGGAGAAGTGTACTTAGCCACAGTATCTTGCAGCTTCTTGCAGGATTTTCTTGTACCGTGGCTGCTTCTTGGTAAAACCGTATCGTGAAACTATTTCATAGAGGTTAGGCAGAAGGTAGGCACAGTGGCATCTTAGAGATTAATTGGCTCAGTGGCAGTTACTGAAAACGTGTAATGCTGAAAGGCAAATTTAATTGCGTTTGTATGCATGACATGCATGTAAATGTCAGTAACTGACAAACTACTGAGGTTGGGATTTTTTCTGAGGATCCACTCTTCCCTGGTTAATGCCCTGCTATTAACAGTAGTCAGGTGTTAACTGGGATCTGAATCTCAGTAAGTGGAATATAAGGTCTGAACCACAGTATGGGCTTATGAAATAATCATAAGAGTACTCTTCAGTTCCCAGCATCCTTTGTCACTTAGGCTGTTTACCCTATTACATGAAGCTCCCAAATCCTTATTATTCAAAAACACTACCATAAGTTTGCTAATGGTAAGATGATAAGTTTGTATAGGTTGGTTTTGATAGGGATGGCTCCTGTCTCAGAAAGGGGCTTGGACTAGATTACCTCTGGAAGCCCCTTCCAACACAAATTTTCTATCATTTCTATGACAGAGAGGATTTAAAAATAACTACTTAAGCCATAGTTTCCCTCCAGAACATGTAGAGGTCATTTGAATCCTTCTCTTACTGTTTAAACATTCTCGTCTTGACATGCAAGGGTGTCTTTACACTTGCTCTGAGGGTTGGGGTGCAGGGGGAGAGCCACCTGCCCCGAACACAGCCTGGCCCAGCTCCCCCACCAGGAAGAGCCCAGCACTGCCCCCAGCAGCAGCCTGCTCCACCCTGTGCACAGATCCAGGGGCACATGCCCTCTCATGCTCTCACGGGCTGTATGCAGCAGTGGAAGTTGCCCTGCACCCCCCAGAAGAACCATTCACAGCTCTGTCCCATGCTCTGCCCTGGCTGTGCAGTACCTGCCCCTGCCCCACTCCCTCCCTCACGGCGGGGGTCTGGATCTGCCCCCCACAACATCCCTTCCCCCTCACCCCTTTCCCCACAACAGACTTACCAGCCAGACCCCAGCTGCGTATCAGCAATTAAATCAGTATCGGCCAATATGGCTTATTAAAAATCAGCCACCAGTATCAGCCCAAAAAATCTGTCAGTGCAACCCTTAGAAAAATAATAGAGCAATTCTTCTGTTGCAAAGAACTCAGAAAGACCACAACAGGTTCCAGAATACTTTTGACACTATGGATTCCTCTATAAAGCTCTTATCTTTATCTTGCAAATCACATACGGGTGTTTAAATACCCAACAGTGCTAATATTGAACAGGATCCTGCAACACCCTTAAAAGGATCTTGAGGCACCCTGGGGCACTGCATCACCCTGGTTGAGAATCACTGGTCTGAGTTCTGCATTTATACACACTATATAAACAGAAACAGAGTCCAAGAGACTCTGCAATCAAACCTCACTCAAAGTATTCAATTCACATCATACCTACTTGCTAAACTACCAGTTACTGGGTACATCTGAGAGCTATTTACTGCTGAGCCAACTAATTAGCTCCACAGTAAACATTGCATGTCCACATGTGCAGTGGTATTAGCAGGAGTAAACTAATGAATTCTGCAGGATAGTCCAGCCCCTTCACAGCATGTTGAGCCAGGTCAGAGAAGCCTGGGCCAGCAGGCTAGCCCCCATGCCCCCAGCCAGCTGGGGTTGCTTCAACCCAGCTCAACATGCTGTGCTCCCAGGTGCATGTGTAAACACAGCACCCTGGAGGAAAAACTCCAGCGCAGTAAGCACTAGAGTTTCTTTGGCTTAATTGCACATGTAGATGCACCCATTGAGTACAACAGAATAACCCGATACACAGGGAAACAAATCAATCTCTTTGGTTGTTCATTCTGGCAAACCAAATAGTACTTCTTCACTGTTTTGCTATTAAACAACTGTCCCTGAACATCACTGACCCCTAGTTTCTTTACCTATGCTACCATATTAGTCAAGCTAATGCTTAAAAGAAGGGTGTGCTTGATGCATAACCTACATTTTTTAAAATTGTTCTAGGATCCTTATATAAAATGATGAGCAAAAACAAATAATACGACAATGTTGGATTATTTTAAAGGAAAAATTAAATTTCAGGCCCAAAAACTGCAAGGCAAAAATCCATGAAGAATTCAGTCTATGTTTAAACATCTGGTCCATAATACTATTGTTAACCTAAGTATCTTTCTAGCGCACATGACATAGATGAATGAAGCTTGGCATTTACTGAAGTTTTTGTTATGATTTAAGACTATTTCTTTGGAGATGCTCACTTCAAATTGCTCTGGTCCTGCTCATGTACTAGAGATAACACAAAATGAATTAAATACAAAGAGGAACAGAAGTATGTAAACTTTTATAGTTAGCTAGTAATAGGTATCTTTAATGTGTTACTTTTAAAGTTATCCAAGCAAGACTAGTGTTGACTTAGTATTATTTTGTACTATATAGTACTATTTTGACTAGACATAAAATATTAATGGCTCGTATAAGTAATTAACTAAAAAAAAAAAAATCATGAGTATACTACTACAATATAGAACCTCCCTAGTCTCTCTGTTACTTAATGTGCAGACTGTAGCATAGGTGAAAGCTTCTTTTTTAAATCTTGCAACATCCTAGGTACAGCAACCAAGCTTCAAGTGAAAAAACCCGTTGCTAGTACTCCCTTTGATAGTGTTGAATGATGTTATAGCCATGATGGTCCAAGAAATATGCATGGAAACAAGGATTTTTGTGGGTGGTATCTTTTACTGGACCAACTGCATGGTTGGGATAGATTTAAACAAGCTTGCAAATGCAACACATTCTTCTTCAGGTCTCATCATCTTAAAGATCTCTCAGACTTGGAAAGCAACAGAACTCATTCCTGTAGATTGTTCTTTCAAGCTATTGATGGTGTGCTTCCACGCTGTAAGCATATTACAGCTGCAGGTATGCAAATACCCACAGCACTTGAAGCTGATGATGGTGCTAGCCACATGAGCAGAATGCATATACACACACTCCAAGGACCATAGACAGTTTTCCTATTTAGAAGACAAAGCATGCAACTGCCTTTCCTCACAGGCAGAAATGGACAAAAATGAGCTGCAATTCCCAGAGCAAAGCAGATAAGGA